CCGCATTTTATGAATACTGCTAACAAGCGTACAATGCAGAGGGGGCTTAAGAAGTTTCGTAAAGGAGACTCATTTCAATGATGCGAGTACCTCAATTACTTTTGCTCTAACATTATTATAAGTCATGAGAAAGCAACTACAACTCTTATCTTCTCAAGACTGTACAAGGTTTTGCAGAAGGACCTAATCTCAGTCACCCCTATCATTCTCGCCATTTAGAGAGATATAGAAGTAACTGCGGTTTCAGTACGGTTTGTAATAGCGATCACTTTTGCACCACTCTAATATGAGAACGGGTGCACTGCCTCTATTTCATTTTCTCCAGATGCCAAGAACGAGAGAGCAACAGTATTAGCTATGGGTAGCACACATGCAAGAACTTTGAAACGACTATTTCTTTGAAGAATGATATTCTGACCACAAATTACCAATTGTACCCATTTTTCATGCACGGTGGAAAAAAATATAGCACTAATAGAAAGCTACACTTCAGGTACTGATTGGACCGTTGGTAGAGAGCACACAAAAATTTCTGAAGGAGTGCCTATAGGAAAATAGTCGATGAGTATGCCTAACTGATCCACTCATCTCTTCAAGTTCTTAAAAGTGTGGATTGCCCTGGTCCTCTTGCATTTCGATGGATTTCTTCCAAATAATATGTATTTGAAAATTATTGTACACAAAAGGGGGCATACCCATCCAGCGCGTGAAATAAGAGCCAGAGAAATGTTCCAGTGAAGAATACGGCCCATTTGCTTTGAAGAAGAGGGCAAATGTAGAAGTAAATGATTTCTTGGGAGATCAATAGTGCATTTTGATACACAACCTGCAATAAATATGGAAAACTTGTTTATGAGATCGTAGGAAAAACTCTCGGATTCATTGATTCATTCAAAAATTATTTTAGCGTTTTACTTGTTTGACGAAGCGAACTTCCATCTCCTTCCTTTTTCGATCAGCGATATTTGTGTAGATGCCATTATGATGATGAGTCTTATTGCCCTTGAATTACAAAGCTTGAATCTCTACAACAACCAACCATGACAAAATTTCATGCCTCTAAAAAATGTTTCATACCTCTAAAAACTTCTATTACATCCGAGGTATAATTCCACGTATTACCTACGATACTCAATATTTATATTTATTTATATAATTTACATTCATATTTTTGCATTTTACATTCATTCTTATTTATTTATTTTTATCATTATTCATTTATTTATATCACTTATAATACAATATCTAATACAAAACTAATAAAAAAAAGGTCGTCTTCGATGACTCCCTGTAAGATAGCAAAGCTCCCGAGAGAACTAACTATAAAAAGATCATAATTATACCTTTATTTTGAGTGCTTAATTCAGACCAAGCTCAAATTTCAGTATATCATTTCATCATTATTTGAGCCAACATGTCATGTGGTCTGGTAAGGGCTCTTGTACAGCCCGAGACACGTGTTTCGTCCCTACAGACTCATCAGCACGGCAGAACCCGTCGTCTGTCGATCTTTTTATAGTCAGTTCTCTCGGGAGCGTTACACTCTCTGTGTTAGGTGAATGTTTCACTTGACATAGAGTGCAAAGCGTACGTCGTCGATAACTCTCTATAAGGAGTGTAACGTTCCCGCGAGAACTGACTATAAAAAGATCGACAGACGACGGGTTCTGCCCGGCTGATGAGTCTGTAAGGACGAAACACGTGTACCTGGCTGTACAAGAGCCCTTACCAGACCACATGGCAAGTTTTCTCAAATACTAATGAAAGGAACAATAACTAGTATTTAATAATTAACACCTAATTTGAGTTACTTTACTGCGACTATACATAAACACTATGAAATCAAATTTGATATCTTTGGGAACGCTATTCAATAGCAATGAATCCTATAAAACATTTACTCTTAACTGGAATTTTGGACGAAAATAGCGATTTCCTAAGCCATTTGTTCGAAATAAACATTCATTTGTTGCCGTCTATCATGTGGAACCTCGTTGTTCTCAATTCCGCCAAAAAGAATAGAAAACGCGAAGATTCTGCATTCATTGATGGTGACAGTAGCTGTGTGATGAGTGCCGAGAATGTTAGTTGTTGAGAGTTTTGCTATCTTATAACGTGGGAGAGCCATAATAGGATTAAGGCTATCAGTAGGAATTCTTGCAGATCTTGATACTGCTGAAATAGACTGCCTTGCTTTGACCAGTACTTAGTAATACTGTGAATTTTCTTGACGAAATACGAAAAAATTCGAAATATCTCCTACGCGATAGGATAATTCCTACACTGAATGCTAGTTTGTCATATTACGTTGATAACAAATCGCCAAAGCAATTAGTGCATGATGGGCAGTGATTAGAGATGCTCTGCGCCGTACACGTGGTCTACGCTTCGATCTCGTGCTCATGGATCACCAAGCCTTCCATCCCTCTGGAGTCGGATAATTAATACCATTCTTGTCTGAGAGGATAGGCGGTACTGACATAATGCATCGGTTAGGCCACCGCAAGTCATTGTAAAGGCCAAATATTGCAGTGAGCCACCTTAAAAGAAGTTAAACATTGATGACGAATGCATGGCGCACCCGTCAGAGATTGATCAACGCCGAGAACTTTATCCCTTATCGTTTAACAAATTGCACAATATCTGACTGCTCTAAACTTGTAGAGCATAGTTGAGTGGAAAGCTATAGTCAACACTCATAATGTCCAGCTAACCTTGTGTTTAATTCTTAAACAGATTAACGTGATGCAATCGAGTACGACGATCAAGATAATAACAGCTTGAGTGATATGGAAGTTGATCAAGACGAAAATGCACGGTGTATCGGAGAACTTCCACTCCCACTTCACCGTATTGTAAAAGAGAAACAATTAGCTGAAAGGAAACCTACATATGTTAACAAAATTTAGCAGGCCAGTTGTACTAGGTGTACAAATATGACTCTACCGTTCAATTATTTTTGATGTAATAATAGTAAAGATATAAAAGATATTCAAATCCTTTCTTTTTTGAAAATGCGTCAATAACGCTAATCTGGGTGCTTTATATACAGAGTATTTTATATGAGGGTTTTTCCAAGTCTTTGAAGATGACCACATTTGTACCCGAAAAGCGCCATTTGCGGAAAAGCTTTACTTTCCGCGTTTAATTTAAGGAAAAGCGCCGCCGACAGAATGAAAGATTTTCTTGCATCGTGTAGTGACCGGAGATGAAAAGTTGATTTATTTGACAATCCAAAGCCCAAACGACTATGGACCCACCGCGGACAACCAGAAAAATGGATTACAAAATGGAACATTTACGGAAAGCTTTTCTGTGCATTTGGGTAGGATTAGAAATTCGTCCTCTACTACAGCTCTCAAAATCTGGGGACGATTGATGTAGCACCTTGTCAAAAAGAATTGACCAAAATTTACCATGAATTGTAAATAAAACGATCGGAATGGGCCGGAAGACACTACAAAGTGAATCTGCTGCATGATAACGCTCAGCGCCATGATGCAAAACCGATCGGAAACGTCATAAAAGAGCTGAGGTGGGAAGTTTTATAACTGTCAGATTACCGCTTGAACATACCAGATTCAAGTTACAAATCAAAAAAATTTCAAAAATCTTGCCGAATTTCACCAATTTTACTTACCATTTTCTTCGAATGGCATTCACAAATTACATAAAAGTTGGGAAAATGTTATTGTTAATGATGGAAATTATACGGTATTGCAAAGAACAGCGGGTCGCATTTGTACACCTAATAAAAGAAAGAGTGTGTTTAATGCAGATTTTTGAGATAATCTTCAATACCCATGCACACAGTTCAATTGGACCGAAGAGCTAATCAGACCTTCCCGTTTTTCCGGGTTGGCAAGATCTACCAACTTGTCCTTAAACTCAAAAACCATCGATGTTGGGTGACTTTTGAGAGCATAGTCGCAGTGACTTTCGGTCATGCTCAGTGAAATTGAATTTGTAATCTGTTTTCAACTAAAGCATCAACATTGGACGCCTTAATCTTAACCCTAATATCATCCAGAGAAGTGTTTAAACGGTAATTGATATGTATACTTTTCGCACTGTAGTCCCTTTAGATCTACATAATCTCGAACATCTTGATTTTAGGTAACTGGAAAATAGTAAAACTCACCCCATAAATACGGTACTCTAAGAAGGACACCTAGCATCCAGCAGATCAGAACTGCCACAGCGGTATTTCTCACACTTAGAAAGTTGGAAACTTGTAGAGGAAAGTGATAGCCAAAACTCTGTTCAAAGAAATGGTTAGGTGGCAGTAGATAACTACATTCCACAAAATAATGTCCAAAATACCAAACACTTTGCCTGCCAATTCGGTTGACATTTCGCATTCACTGAAAGTTATGAGATTTTTTCACCACATTCTTAGTATTTATTCTTGACTATTACGCAATTTTAGCTTATGAGAATTAACTTCCACTTCTTTCCTTTCGTGTAGCAGTAGAATGGTGCGTAATGCAGGTTTTAGAAAAAAAGCATTAAATTAACCTCTTTCTCAAACTTTCTTTTGTAGTCGAATAAGTTCAATTATTTTCACGATTACAAGCAGAAACTCGACCAGAATTTTACGACATTTATGAGGAAGACGAACTCTAAAAACAGCAACAAAAATAGCATGCAGAACCTTTGAAGACCTTGGCAACGATAAATGCAGGGTATCGAACTGAATGCACGTAGTGCTGAGATTCGCACAAAAGATCTGATAATGAGTGAAGGAAATGTAAAAACAATTAGATAAGTGAATAATTTTTCTTTTGCAGTCTATAATATTGTTTACCCTCTTCTAGAATATCATGAAATCAATCATTTGGAGGCAGTACTCTTTCAGGAAGAATATTACCGCATAAACATTTAGGAAATTTAAGAATAAGATATTGATAATAATTGGAAATTATTTTATTCGACCGCCTATTTCGGTATTATGATGTTTTCAATAAACCCAATGATGTAGAGTGGTGTTCAAAAACGTTTGCGTCAACTGGGTCACGAACTCAGATCTTACTCTTTCCGGGAGCATATGCTAAACCGTTGCACCAGCGACGCTCGCATTGCACTCCACTCTTTCTACGCTACAGCGCGTCATCTGTGAACACCAATCGTCTGAGGTGTGGCGGGGCAGTCGTTATTGACATTGAATCCACTTTTGTTGATAGATGTAATTTGCGGTATGGAAGCAGAAATCTAATTGCCTGATGTTTTTCTTTAGTTCTCAAATATTACAGCTCAATGATGTAGAGTGGTGTGCAAAAGCTTTTGCGTTAGCTGGGATTCGAACCCACATTTCCACTCTATCCAGGGGCGAGTGCTGAAACCGTTGCATTACCGACGCCCGGTTTTCATACCACTCTTTTTACGCTACAACGCGTCTATCTTTCGGCACACCAACCGTCAACGGGTCTGGCGTGGTAGTCGCCAGCGACGGTTGAACCCACTGGTGCTGACAGATTACTGGGTATTGATGATCATTCAGAATCTATTTTTTTACCGCCTTTAGCGTTGGTGAGGATGTTACAGGTCAAATAAAAATAAATTCTAACTGATCTTCATTACCCAGTATCTTTCAGCATAATGGGTTCAAGGGGTTTCAATGCTGATAGCGACTACCCACGCCAGAACTTTGACGGTGTGGCTGCCGACAGATAAACGCGGTTGTAGCGTAGGAAGAGTGGTATCAAAGCTGGCGTCGGTAGTGCAATGATCAGTACGCGCTCCACGTAAAAAAGTGTAAACTTGGGTTCAAAATTGGATTTTTGCCTCTAGCCGCAATCGTTTTTGCACCAGGCACTCTACATCACTGGATATACTGTAACTTCGTACGACCGGCTAGAAGCGGGCAAATAAAAATGAATTCTGATTAATCATTATTACGGCCCATTTTTTTTTCCAAAATTTTCAAGTTTAAAAGCGACTAGCATCTACAGCAATGTTGTCGGCGCGACCCAGAAGATGGTGATGAGAAGAACGCCCATGTTGGCCGATGCTGTGAGAGAAGCACAGTAGACCAAACGAGTTCCGCAACGCCGGATTGTATCTCACGGCTAGTATAGCAGCGCTACTTGAAAACAAACCAAACACTCCGACCTGAAATCTAGACACCTTTATTTTTCTTGATAATATTTGAACTTCACAGCATATTTTTTGATCCGATATTTGGGTAGGCGATGTCGTTATCACTCTGGATTATTCAATAAATAATGAGAAATTTCACACAGTGCATCCTTAAAGTGGCACTCACCCGCCTTGAGCAAATAAAATTTCCAATTTTTATCTACTAAAATTGTTGATGGGTTTCAATGATAAGCATTTATGTTTATTTCACTAGCACAAAATTTTGAATTCCAAATGCATTGAAGTCGCTGAGCGCGACGTTCACCAGCGGATTCGCTTTCTGAATAACACTCTGTGCAGATAATTGTCGAAATTCTTCGAAATAGCAGTCTATAGGTAAGAAACGCCGCGAGCACAATGAAAAAAAGTATAGTTCTTTCAGACAACTCATGAAGGTTGGCAGCTGGTGGTGTAATATGTAACGTTGAGATATCGTTTGAATTTTATTATTCAATTCATGCATCATATATTGCTACGGTTCTTGCGATGTCAAAACTTTTTTCGGAAACCCATATAACAATTGGGCACTTTTACATGATTTCTAATGCAGTGAAGCAGGTCTTTTTATTATTGTGGTTGAATTTAGTTTCAATCTAAGCATTAATTCATCTCTTTCCAATAGCAACAAGGACTTTTGGCGACATCTTTAGTGCCTAAAATTTCAATTTTTTCAAGCCAAGGATAAACAAGTCATCACGTTTTTGTCTTTTGTTCATTAAGAACAGATACTCACATGAGTTAATCCTTTTACGGTATGCATCGTCCTCAGTACAACGAAACGAATTGACCAAAAACTGAGAAACCATATGAATAAAGAAAATTCTCTCAGAAACCACCTTTTTTAAACAGAACTCTAGCCGTGCCAAAGTGCCGTGACCCTCACCAGGGCAATTCTTCACGACATAGGGCCTAGTTCAATCGGCTGACAACTCATGGTCATCTCACAGCATGGATGAATTCTCCGTCATGATGTATAACACCGTCATATCTCAAATCAGTTGTTGATCCTCACCAGGCAGTCCTCCAGAATACAGAGTGCCTTGATCTGCGGAGCATAATTTTCGTCCACGTGAAACTGTGCGCGAATGGTCTTCAATAATAACTATTTGATCACGAAACAACAAACGGTACGCATCTGATAAAAGATGTCTTTCACGCGGTTCAATGTTTCACTCTACTGAGTTTGGCCTGCTTTGACTATCAAAAGAGTTTGGCTGATAGATTATATGTCAATTTAAGTTTTTCAGGCTCTGAAAAAGCCGAAACCGCCGAAACGCCAGCCAATGTATTATCATTGCACTGTATTATTCTCTTCGGTAAATACTACTTTCAGCTACCTCGAATTTACTTATCAAGGGAAATTCTTTGAAATTATATTTATCTACGACGAAGTTAGTAGGAAGCCGGTTTCAAGATAACATTACATAACGCTTAATCAATTCTGTGACTATGAGTGAAAGTTGATGTTCACACTAATGTCTTAGAGTAAATTTTTCGAGAACTCTGTCTGGGTGTCTTCATTTTTAATAGGCAATATCATGTCAGAAAGTTCGATTTTTTTTTCCATATTTCAATTTTGGGCAGTGAAACTGGGTGATGCGTCGCAAAACAGTATCACAAAAACTATCTCTATAACACACACAAGAAAAGAAACGCAATCGTAAATTCTCAATAATTTTTCTTGAACAATCTAGTACAGGCCCCACCGCATACCCATTTTCGTGCTAGAATATCATATTTTTTTGTTTTTCTCTTATGCTCTTAATTGATATGGATGTTTACAGAAGTGCATAAAAAATAAGTTACGTACCGTATTCTGCTAATGGATTTTATCATCAAGTTGTTAGTTAAAGCAATGCATAAAGTTGACGTTATGGGCTGAGCATAAATTAGAGCTCACAAGAGACTTGTGTTTTTTTATATAATACAATAGGAGCAGTCTATAAGCTTACCAGTTCCATCATTTACCGAAACCAGCTACGTTTCTCCAAGTGAATATACG